ATTGGACCGTTGACTCGTATACAGGAACTAATCGATTAACAGGACTTTTCTTGGAGGCTATCCCTAAGTGAAATCCCATAGTCGCACTCGAGAACATTCAACCCCTTCCACACCCTCTCATCCAGACGGGATTCCATAAAGTTAACATGTCATAGGCAGAGATCGGCAAACTGCCCCCACTGTGTTAGCCTGCACAACGTTCCTGTTCAGCGGCATGCGGGTCGGGTGATACAGGCGTTGACTGGTTCAATCTTTCAGCGCAAAAGACAGTACGGAGTACTTCTGACTCCAGTGAACTTTTTCTACTTTTGTCAAGAGAAAAAAAGAAGAGAGAAAGAAAAAAAAAAGCTGAAAATTGGGGACCAAAAAAAAAGGAATCCAAGTCAGAGATCCACTGGATATTCCCCAACTCCATTCGACCCAGTTATCTATTCTGTCCAAAACTCACACATCAATATCAGCCCCCCACCGTGGATGAGCACGCACATCGCCTTATCAGGGCGGATGAGGATCCTCAGTGGAGTCCTGCACGCTAAGAGAATTGCCAGTGTTTTGGTTACATTTCTCATTTGGTGATACATGATGACGATGTATTATTATATTGATTAATCTCAGCATCGGTGAGCCCATTCTTGCCATTTTGCTGTTCCGAAATCCACAAAGATACACCTCTCTCATGCATGGCCGATAACAAACATTCGAATACGACGTACTCCATACTAATATGTTGATCTTAAATTTCATTGGTGCGCCACGCTCGGATACTTGTTGGCTCGAGGGGCTCTGTTTGGTGTAGCGGCCGTTGGGATGTTTCAGACTCAGAATGGAATTCAAATGACGCACCTGGTACTCCGCACACAGGACGGGCTGTAATGCAGCGTTGGTGTGACGTCTACTTTCGTACTTAGGCTTACACGAACAGGTCTAGTGAGGGATCCATATAAAGTGTAGGTTGTGAAGTCATTTGTACCGCACAGACTATATCATTATCGCGGGGTGGGGGGAGTCGTTTGATTCGGTCCACACAATGTACATATATATCTACCTCACACAGCCAGAAGCTTGAAAACTCAACTTCTCAGCCTGTCTTCTCTGGACACAAGTTCAGGCCCAAATGGGTTCTTATCATATCAGAACGACGGAGTACTCAAGTGTCAGTAACATGGCGTCGCATAAGATACATGTATGCGGGCAGCCCGCATGCAGGGGAGCCTGGTTCCATGTGAGATGAGGATGAAGTACTTTGGTCCACCGCCACCGAAGGATGAGAGTGCAAGAGTGTGCGAAAATCATGGGTTTTTTTCTGACAGAAGAAACAGGATTAAAGGTGATGCTGAAAGATTTCATTGTTGAAGCTAGGTAGCCTACAGCTTACGACTGTTTTTTTTTAAAAAAAAAACCGTTCTCTTCTGCAAGAGATGTAGACCCGAAATATGGATCACTGCACCCACGAAGACAAGTCTCCAAGGATACCGCGATGAGTAATGGGACTGATTTCCTCTTCCCCACTTAAAATAAGCCTATACCACGTTTTGATATGATCAATCCTCGTAGGGAAAGAACGGTAAGGGCCAGAGTGTTGTGGGGGTTCCATCCAAAGGACGGACTGTCGGCTACGCCGGGCGTAGCCTCTCATGATTCTCATCACCATAGGAGAAGGCGTGAGGATCATGAGAGGACTTTGAAGAGAATCGAAAGGAATACAACCGGAAGGGAACGAGAAAAAGAACAAGCAGCGAGCTGGTCGATTTGTTCCAATTGCACACTCGCGAATTAGGAAAAAGGTATCATAGGTCATGACTCATGAATATTTGGTTGGTTTGAGAAACCATTCGTATTCTGCAACTAGCCATCTCATCATTAAGAGAAGCACGCTTTAGAAATCAGATAGGCCTCCTCTATTTTTTTGATCATTCAAGAGTGAATGATTTATTCCTCGGGAACTGATGACATTGTTAGTAGTGAGATTTTTTATCTTCAAACAGTGGGCAAAACTCACTGTCAATCTCGCCAGACTTGACGTCATCGGAGACATCCTTGGGGCTGCGGCCGTCGACCTGGCAGCCGACGGAGAAAGCAGTACCGAGGATCTCAAGGACACCACCACGGAGCTCCTTGGCCATCGAGCGGGTGCGCATGATGCGGGCAATCTCGATGATCTCATCCATAGGAATGGACTTAGAGTGCTTGATGTTCTTCTCCTTCTTGCGGTCACGGGGAGGCTCCTTGAGGGCCTTGATGACGAGGGAAGAAGCGGAGGGAACAACGGAGACGGCGGCCTGACGGTTCTGGATGGTCAGGCGGACGGTAACACGGAGACCCTTCCAGTCGCCAGTGTTCTTGGCGATGTCTTCACCAATCTTCTTGGGAGACAGACCGAGGGGACCAATCTTGGGGGCCAGAGCGGACTGAGCGCCGACCTCACCACCAGTCACACGGAGGTGGCTGAACAACCAAATTAGTTTCTTGTCGGCTTGAAAGAGTGGAAGGAGCCTTGGAGAAAAGATAAATAAACTTACATGATCTTCACCTCATTGGGATCGAACTTGGGAGCTGATCACGAGGGAATGTTAGTCGCCATATTGCAATAGGCCAAGTAGATGATACTTACGCATGGCGAGTGCGAAAGGTAGTCGATCGTCCTTGGTTGTCGAAGAGGATGGTTACAGAAGAGAAGAGGGAAAGGAGCAAAAAAATCAAACTTGAAGGAGACTCGGTGCTAGCGTGGCCCACACTTGCTCAACTAAGCGAACGAGCGAATTGGGAGCTAGGGTATGGATAAATGGTCACGTGATACTGTTAAACCCTTATCGAGTTGATTGCCTCTATGGTATTTTGTGCAGTGACGACATCTCGGTGTTCAACGGATTATTTGGTTATTAAAATCGCAAGAGACTTTTTTAGAAAAAACCCCCTGTAATGGTATCAATCCATTCAATCTACTACTATATCGCGTCAAAGGAGTTAAATCACCGCTAAAGATACACAAGACCCGAGGGTCGATGACAGACCGCCCTTGCTCTCATGGCCATCATCTCATAACACTTAGCTGGTGCCAGATACAGCAAGTCTACAATTAGGTTAGCACGGAAGATTCCAAATAAAAATTGGAGGAAAACTTACTTCATCAGGTGGTCCATGAATGTCTGGAGCGACACGTCGTCAGTGAAGATGGTCTGCGATGAGACACCACCACCGTATCCACCTGTGGTGTGGGTGGTCGACGGGTTCAGCTTGGACAGCAAGAAACGGGCCTGAGAACCACCAGCGTCACAGACAATGAAACGGGGCAGAGGGAAACGGTCGGCAATAAGATCCTAGAGGACACGTGTCAGTACGAATGATGAGCATACGACTAGGAAGGCGGCAACGAACCCTAGCATCCTCTTTCGGCTGGTCAAGAAGCAACTTGAGGTTCTCATAGCCCTCCTGTTCATGGTACCCGGCTTTCCTCCACTCCGCAATAGTCTCACCGTTGAAGATGAGGATGTGGAAGAAGGTATCAAGGAGAAGAATGTGGGCGGGCTGGATAGAAGCGGAGTCCAGCAGCACTGGCTGAGCACCCTCTTGTTCCAGAGAGTATGAATCAAGAGTGGGCTGGATCATGACAAGGGAGTCACCAGTATCCTCGTGGTTCAAGACGTGGCGGTAGAAAGCAGTTTCATCGGGGGAGTTATTGAAAACCTGCAAGAACTGACTTCGGCGCAGATGGAACATGAACTGAGGGTACAAGGTGAAGTTCTTTTCCAATCGGAATGATGTCGGGTCATCCTTCCGGTAGTCAGCGAATCGGGAGCAGAGTCTGATTAGCATGCGATCAACCCAGCGCAGGACGTCTGGACCGTCATCAACCTCAGCCTTGAACACTGCAATACGGGCCATAAGGACAGCGGCAGCCTCTTGGTCGAAGGACTGTGCCAGAGTTGGGTCACCCGCAGGTCCGCTCAAGGGGCGGGCAGTAGTGGTCACTCGTAGGTGGTAATGCCCAGAGGAATGCTGGTAGTATGTCAAAAACTGGATCACACCGCGTTGAGGACCTGGCTGAACAGCAGCTGGGCCACCCTGGTTGGCAATCTCAAAGTAAATACCGTAGCTGGAGGATGGGTCCATTCCACACATCTTCCACGCACAGGTATTACCGATACCGCATTCTGTCTCACCGACAGAGCTTGACTTCTTGTTTAACGAGATGGCGTGACCGATCAGACCAGTAACCTTGAGCTCCTTGGTTGTAAGCACCTCGAGAGATGCATTGAAGCCCATTAAGAGGTTATCGTTGGCATCCTTGTCGAACACGCGCACGAACGATTGCTTAAACTGTGAGGATGTGAAGCTATCTGTGAGAAGCATGTGACCTCCAGTAAAGTTGGAGAGGTTCTTCATTTCCAGCAAACCGACTTGATCAAGACATCCGGCGAAAATATCGACAATGTGGCCATTGTTAGCCGCGCGCTTAGCGAGGGCGTCATAGAACTAGGATAAACTTAGCAAAGTTCCAATACACCCATGGGAGGAGAACCAACCTTGACAGCCTTCTTGTAGTACTTGATGTTGTCCCGGTCGATATCGTGGTGCGAACGAATGGGCTCCTTCAATTCAGGTGAAACAACGTGGCCAGGGCCCTCAGTGGCTGCACCACTAGTGAAGGTCATAATGCGGCCTCCGGCATTCTGGAAGGAAGTCTCAAGCAGACCAACAGCAACGCTCAGGGCAACACCAGTGCAGCGCAGGGGACGCTTGTCATTGGCAACTGGCCAGGGATCACGCTGCAATTGTTCGAGGACATTGGTGATCTGGAACTCAGCCTGCTGAACAGGCATAAGGAAGCGTGCAGCTGGGCCAAGGGGAGGACGGGCAGGCTGTTGTTGAGGAACACCGGGGCGCACGCCACCGGCCAGCCCCAGCATTTCTTGAACCTGCTTGGCGTTGTATTCCTTGTTGCCCCTGAACACATATGACTTTGCGCATTCGGTATATCCGAGCTCGTGAACTTGGGCCTATATATGAAGGTCAATAACATGCCTCCTGTCTTGCGAAGATCATCAATCCCTACCATTGTACCGAAGGTAATCAGACCAACCAGCGCATTGGCCGGCAGAAGAGACAAGCTCATGATGAGGGAATCTTTCACAGCCTGCAGACTGTCATCCTCCTGGCAGGTATCGACAACAAAGACGAAGATCGGGGGGGCGGGGGCGGGTCGTGCCAATTGGTACTCGATCGTCGTGCTCTGGGGGTGGAGTTCTGGGGGTATCGTGTTCTCCGTGATATCCTTGTAATGCGGAGGAAGAGGGTTGCGCGACAAACAGAACGGGCAGATCCAGACTCGTGCGCGGACATCGACAGTGCTTTACAAACGTCAGTCCAACTACTTATCGAGGTGTGCCAGGGTAACGCGTCACGTACGCATATGGGTTGAGCACAGCTCGGCAGGGCTGCTTGCAAGTTACGGGCTCATATTGTAGCAGAGGAGCCTCTGGCTTTTCCTTCAATGGGGTGTAGACGGCGGCAATGGGAACGACCAAGCGGGACGCTTCCTACATCGAGTATCAGCGAATGATGCGGTGAAGGTAAAGGGTATCACTATCACGAACCATGCGAGTGCTCGGGAAAGTGTTCCAACTGAGTCTGATGCCATCGCGGTCCTCCACATCGCTCCATTGATCCTTCAACGCTTCGTAATCCATCTTGTCGGTAGATGTTCCGGGACTCGGTCCTGTATTGACAAAGAGAGGGGGTATATGCGGATATTGAGAAGTCGCAAGGAAAAAGAACCTCGAATTTTAGGGTCTACTCCAAGAAATTAAAGCAAGTGAGCCACCCGGAGCATAATCCAGTCCCAAAAGAAATCGGAGTCCCTGTTAATAGCTAGGGATTGAATGAACGAGATGGAGGAGTATGTTGTGTGGAGGTCCGGTCCGTGAGTAAGGCCAGGTTGCAGCACAGTTGGTCTCTAATGCCTCCCGGACCAAAACATCATTAAAACTCGGCTCGTCCGCTGTTTTTCCACCTCTTTTCTTTTTCTTCTTCAATTTCACGCCAGCCTACAATGTGTGCAAACATGTTTTAATCAACAACTTCCGTCATTCCATGGCAAAGTTGTCTTCTAGTTGAGCGGAGAATGACTTGACCCGTTGCTGGGCACCTGGATTTGAGAGGTCATTCTGATCCTTTCCGATTCTCTGGGAATCAGCTGTGGTCACACTCCCACTAAATACCAAATTGTTAGAA